GGCGAGCCGAGGGTCGGGGCTGCCGTCGTCGTTTCCTAGTGGCACGCTTAAAACGCGAGTGCACGCACGTAACGCAACGCAACGCATTCGGCCCGCCTCAGCCTCGGCTCCGCGGCGCGACCTCGCTTTATTAAATTCCTGACGCGAGACACCCGGCACGTGCAAATATTCGTTCGCCGGGCGAGACGCGCAATTCGGGGTGCTCGCTTGCGGCGGAAGCGTTAAATTCGCTGCGAGCACTCCGAGTTGCGAGAGAGGCGGCGAGTCGCGAAAAGCCGGAGTCGCGCGAACATTCTCAGCTGCCAAGTTCTCCGCGTTGCCTGACGCGATCCGGCGAACAACGATGGCGCTGAAAATTCCTGCGAAAAAATTCCTGCGTTTCGGAGCTATCGCGTTAATTTTTTTTCCATGGAAAAGATAGCATAGATAAAAATATAGCGCATGTTATTTAAAATATAATTATTTCTAGGTATACATTAATGTCGTTATAGAGTTTTCATATGTTTTCATATGTTACTCGCAATTCAAATTAAACTACGTCGCGTATATGTTATGCATTATAATATGTAATAACAACTTATATAATGGAAACTAGCGTGTAAAGTAAATAGATATTGTTCCTGTATAAACAGGTTCGATCAGTCGCATTACATAGTTTTTAATATCCAATATGCTAATCACGAAATTGTATCATAATTACTTTGCACGCTTTACGAAAGCAAATCTAAATAAGGAAACACGATACTATAACGATATAATCAAGATCGGTCACAAATGTTAAATATATAATGTTACAAAATGTTTTATTAATTGAATTAAAAACGAGAAAAATTAAAAAGTTAGTCGTTTTTAATATTAATCAAACTTTTATTTAATAGGATATTTGTATCAAATAACAAGTTACATATGGATATATTTTACTGAATTAATTTATAAAATAATTTTTAATGAATAATTTTCGTTGAATAATATATATTAAATCCTTCAAAAGAATGTTTCGAAGGAAAAACCTGAAGCAAGATTTGCGTACTTTCATTTTGCAATACGAAGTAAGAACGTACGATGCCGTGACACCTTTTCAGAAAATATTCTTTCTCCGTGCGTTGCAGCGTCGATGTTTAAAGGACCATCCCTCTGCGTTCAACGCGCGTTTAAAAAGCATGTGTGTGCGATAGACAATTATGATACCGGCTATGACGACGAAGACGCGACTTAAGACCACACGAAAGTTCACGTACGTCAGCCCGATACTCGGGTGAACGGGCCCCTTTCACAATGGCTGACTCCGTAAGGCAAAAATCAGAAAGTTAGGGCGCCAACGGTACTACATCTCGGGCTGCGAGCAAAGAGAGGGACGATCGAGCGAGTGAGTTCCCGAGGGATGCGCAGCTGTCATAAGGAGTGCAACTATTGGCCGCTACTACCGGTCGGCCATGCTGAATTTTTCCGGTCTGTCTTCTCTTCACAATAGTATCGCAGACCCTGAAACAGGGTCAGTGGCTTTACTAAAGATCGCGGTCGTCCAATAAAATCTCGCTGTACCCGCGATCGTTTCGTCCTTCATTGTTTCGCTGACAACTCCGCTCGTCAACTCAATAAAATTAACGGGATCAACGTCAAATCAACCGTCGGATTTCTCAGTGTGAAAAAAAATTTCAAAAAATAAGGAATGAATTAAAATAATATTTTTGTAAGTGCGGTATGAAAGTCTGTCACACGCCGGATGGCACCCTTGACTGTTGCTGGTGACACGTGGAATATTCTACGGACGAGCGTGTCGGTTATAACAAACAAAAAAGCGACGTTCCTCTGTTATTGAAATAAATCCCGTCATAATCATCGCTAACACTTCTGAAGGGAATTCTGGAACGAGTAGGAGAAAGGTTGAGAGCCGGAGAGAAAGAGAGAGAGAGAAAAAGGGTTAGCGGGGACTCGTCTGCTATTGCCGGCCGCGTGTCGCTACCCTAAGGATTAAGCGCAATTATTGGAATCACTTCGGCAGACCACAACCCGTTTCACACGCTCCTTGTGTCCTTTCGAGCTGTCATGAGAGTTTACTTTATTCGTGAGATTTTGAAAATTTTAGAGAAGAAAATGATACGATTGAACGCAATATTGCAATATAAAAATGAGGAACTACTTAAAAAGATGTACACGCGAAAATCGCTTGCTTCTGAAACTTTTCAGACAGCACATATGTCCAAAATACATCCAAAGGATATCCAGAAGACCTCTTGTAGTCCCAAAAAGATCTTCTGGACGTCTTTTGGATATGTTGTGCTGTCCAGGTTAATACAATGATTGCAACTTTATTTTTTATTTAACTTAAAAAAAGATTAAAATTGAGTTAAAGTAGAAGTAATTAAAAATAGAAAAAAGAACAAGCTAGATAGTAGATTTCAGAATTTAAATAGTATAAAAATCGTTTGTCGTGCTTTATCTTACTTTTTTAAAATATTGATTCGTCTTTTTGCATACACTCGTGAATGAATGATCACAAGCATGCATGTAAGCGAATGTACAGTTCAGCGAACTGTAATAAAATATCTAATGTATTACGAAGCAAATGAACAAGACACTAATTTTGTTGGAATTTGTAACACGTCGATTGTACTGCGTGTCACCAGTTTTCTTTTCATTTTTTTGCGTAACATTACGCTTTTAATATAGGAGTTAATTAATTAATTTTCAGATGAAAATTTTATTAAAATTTATTTCAAGTTTAATAAAACACGAGTTATTGCTACTTATTTGCGCATATATTTATTTCGCGAAGTTTTCACATTTTTAATTTATAATTCAAAACGTATTGTCATCTTAACATTTCTGTTAAGGAATTAAATTAGAAAAGCTAAACATAGTATAAAGAATCACGAAATTATAGACAACTTGGTGCACCTTGTATATCGTATTGCATTAAATTCATACAGCTAAACTATTTCTAGCCCACCAAAGCCGCGAAAGCCAGTCTCCTCTCTCTTTTCCCTTGTGCTACCTCGGCGAAAGAAACGTGACACTCTATAGCGCGATTGCGAAATCCATGGAGAAAAAAAGCATATTTCAGCGAGCCTAGATACTTACCTATATCGTAGCCTCATAATTATCTATACAAAAGCTGGGCAAAGCAAGTTAAGCTATAGTCGATATCTGCGAATGAATTGCTAGATATCGCACTTTTTCCTGACCGCGTTTCGCGAGCTGATTCTGTTAAAACATGTAATTATGATATTTTTTTTTCTGTCACAATACATTTTTATATCTATGAATATCAAACGTTAAAGCTTCTTTCAACAAAGAAACCGAAGATATCGATCTTTCTATTTGATTTCTCTGCTAATATTTCACTACTGTTGAGATTTTCGTCGTATTCATTTAATACTGCGAGCTATTGTATATTATAAAGTTTATGATTTGCAAAATCGCTTAATTAGGTGTGATGTAATAGTGCGTGGACTATTCTTTTACTCGTTTTTATCGTTAACTATTGCAAATAAAGGAATAAATTGCGAATAATAGGGATAAAATCGTGAGCTAAAAAAATTAGCAAATACTTATGCTTAAATCAGCAAGAACTTGACTTTTACAAATGCAACGTAAAGTTACACGAGAAGAAGAACTATATTCTTCATAGACATTTGACAAATACGAGAATATCCCTTAAATCATCAAATTCGGCCTTGTCGATAGATCGTCAGCACTTAGTGAATGCATTCCACGTGCGAGCATGTTACACGTGGTGTCGTAGCCTAACCGCTCGTCACATACGTCACCCCTTTTGGATGCGGCTTGGGTTTTGGCTTACTATAACTCCGATAATTATGTTACCAATGCGTCGAAGGACAAAGAGCTCTCGAGCGACGTGGATGGCTCGCTTACGCGAGCGAGAGCCAAAAGAGAGATGGTTGCCTGGTAGCCCAGCTGCCGGTAATCCTCCCTTTGTAATTTGCCTCTATAACCCCCCCCCCTCCCTCTCCAATGGCGGCGATTTTTCCGTAAACATTTTACGGGGCATATTCTTCAACATTTTCATTACCTATTATGAATTTTATAGCAGCAAGCAGAATTTTGCCGTGAAATTCTGATTTCATTTTGTTTCTATTATAAAAACGCAATCCTATCAGTAAATAAAAAAAACAATAAAATATGTTATATAGAATTAAATCAAAAGTCTATCATTTAAATAGACCTATTTATTACATATAAAAAGTCACAAGGTGTAATTATGATTACACCTGCGAGCGAAGTGGCAATGTCAAAAACAGAAGCACCAAACTCTTTCTTTCTCTTTAAGAAGTAGTTTTGTCACTTTATAAGCCAAACTAGCGAATATATTCGATTTGCGAAGATCCAAGCGATCTACGCCAATGCCGGGCGGTTGATGTCACCGTGGCCGTGCCCTCCGGATAATAGAGTCCGCGACTTTAATGGACTCGCTAATCCTCTTCCCTGTTTGTCGGCGAGGGGGCACGCATTCACGGGATGCACGGAGGTAAGAATCGACGCGCGAGGGGACGGGGCAGGGTGGTGTGACTGCGATGCGTGCGCTTCTTTAGGGTGCGTAAAGTGAAGACTGCATTCGTTCGTGCGGGCCGTCACGCGGGAAGGGGGTGACGCACAAGGGGGTGATCTCTCCGGCCTGTCCTGCCGGAGTGGTGACGTGCAGATACGCCCCTTGTGCGGAACCATCGGTGCGATGATACCCTCCAATTTCTCGGCTGAGCTATGTCGCGCGTAATGCGTGTATGCGCGCTATAAACATACGCTAACTGCATTCGTCCGTGGAAATGTATTTCCGATATATTCATTCGTAGGAATAAATTTTGCTTCACGAACTGGTTATCTCGATTTGAAATATCGTCCGGATCCAAACAGGACGGCGAAAGGGTGACATTATTAAGTGGCAAACATGCGTCCCTAATTTGAAAGTATAATTTCATACACTTTCAAAACGATGATCTGAGATAGTAAGATGATTTATATCATTTCTGAATCGAGGAAATGGAGTGAAATTTTATTTACGCAAGTTTTCTCTTCTCTCCACAATTTTTGTACAATACATGTTTCCGCAAAATTTATCAAACCACTTTGAAGAAAATCCCAATGCACTTATAAAACAAATGAAATGATATCGAAAGAAATGAAGTGAAATGGAATGAAATAAATGCGAAGATGAGTTGAAAAACTGAAAATGCCAATTATTATAAAGACATAAGTTCTGCGACAAAATTAACTTTCTTCTTTAATTATCATAATTTATTAAGAATAAATTTTTAAAACTTTCTCTCGATTTATATTTCGTCTCAACAAGATAACGCAGAGATGTCGTTTATAAAAAAATATTTATGAATATTCATGAATAACAGTAATTTGAAATCTCGCATTTTACATTTCGCTGTCAGTGAAAGTTTTATATGCATTACGAATTCATCGACTGCAATGAATGAGACGATCGTGAGGAATGAGGCGATCAGTGATCTTACGAAAATGCAACGATATCGATATTATCGTTCTAATTGTTGTAATTAGAGTGATCCGTTATCCTCGCTATCCTTGCCGTCCTTGCGGAATAGCGTTTGGCAGATTGTGCTGGATCTGCAGAAGCTGCTGGAGCTGCGGCGGCAGATTTCTGGAATACTGATAATTAGGCTGGGCAACTTGCTGCGGCTGCTGTGCTTGTGGCGCCGGCGCAAAATTAGTGCGGTACTGCGGATTGTATTGCTGCGGAGCGGCGGCTACCGGATTGTACTGTCGAGCAGCGGCCGCCGGGTTGTATTGCGGAGCAGCGGCCACCGGATTGTACTGCTGAGCAGCGGCCACCGGATTGTATTGTTGAGCAGCAGCCGACGGATTGTATTGAGCGCGAGCCGACGGATTATATTGTTGTTGAGCAGCGGGGGGCGGATTGTACTGAGCTGGTTTTATGGGAATTTGATTGTAGGTTGGCTGCTGAGGTGCCTGGGCGATCTGTACTTGCGGCCGATACGACGTCAGTTGAGCCTGATTCACGTATTGAGGCTCGATGGGTCTGGCGGGCGACAGATTCGGTATCTGCTGCGGCGGAAGATGAACGATCGGATCGCGAGCCTGCTGCGCGGCCAATATCTGCCTGATCGACGCCGGTGCCTGATTGTAGGATCGGTAATTAGATTGCTGCCTCCGTTCTCGGACGTGGCCTGAGAGTAAATGCAGATTTCCGTTATCGAATAGCTACTGGGGAAAAAATTAATTTTATACTATTCTCTGTCCCGTTAAATTTGTTACTTACTGTGCAATTCCGTTCCTAGCACGGGCGCCACAGCGAGTATTAAAAACTGAAACACGATGGGAAGATATCATATTTAATTTTATGCAACAATGACGTAGCTTAATACGAAAGAATGCACTTTTCTTTCGTAAATGAGCGTCTTAATAATAGTCGGGAGAAAGCGCGCAACTTTTTACGTACTCTATTGTAACGCAAGACTGACGTTGTAAAGGTATAAAAAAATTAAAAAATCTTGACTTGCGATACAAATTCTTGCTTGGTAATGATTATTAATGCACCGTGAGTTATATCATAGAGAAATTAAGTAATTATACTCAATAATTGGAAAATCTAGCTGGATTCTATGCACTATGTATGTATATTTCTCAATTAGTTGAACCTTGATTTATATCGGAAAAAAATGCAAGCGATTGCGAGTTCACAGTTGCGATTTCATACGATTATTTTTGACGAATTAAAAAATAAAAATACTACCGATTTTCTGATAACATTTTTAAAAATATATATTAGTATTTTTTACGTGCATTTTCAATTTTTTCCAAATAATAGAATTCACTATAAATTTAGGAAGTCGCTCGTGTAAGGAAATTTCCGAAGAAAATCACGTACTGGAATGTTAAATCAACTAAAAAGAATACTAAATACTTCTTTTCTTAAGTGTTACTTTTATTTCTGCGACGATCGAACATATTAGATATTAACACTTTTGCGAAGAAAAGAAAAGATTCATTGAACGTTAATGAATGATCTTCTCAAGTCTTTTTTTTATATTCGAGAACAGGAATACTTGTAATATTTCTCACTCAACCAGTAACCAGCGTTTGTATCTTTTTTCTCCCTCAATTACGCAAATAGAATAAAATTGCGACGGTTTTACGATTGACGCGAAATTGGAAAGCAAAAGAGAACACTTGCGCGAATATCGACGATTCCGTGGAATAGCTTCGATCGCGTGGCGCACTTTCTCCCCGGGATTTCACGGGACTCTTTAGGATCGCGAGCGATCGATCAGACCGACCGACGTGATCGCAAAGACTTACGAGGAATCTCATGGTGTTGAACGACGATATTCGGAGGGCGGCGGAACAAAACTGGCGGCCGCGTCGCGACGCACTTCTATATGGGGCCGGCCGTCGCGGGCCGAGCCGCGTCGTCGGCCACCACCAGCTTTCACAGTTGGTCGGGTTTCGAGCGATTTTTTTCGCGTGTACGTTTCCCGCCCGCCGGCACGTAACGCAACGAACCAATGCGTCCCGTGTGCTAGCAGTTGCGGCGAGTCAGGAAGTGACCGGGACGGTGGCACCAGAAAAGTCCGCACGGCACGTATGTTAGTCTCTTTCGTGTACAAGGTGTTCCATGGAATATGGAGAACCATAGAGATAAAAATTTTTCTTTTGCTTGGAGAAATTTTAAACTAGATTAAAATAAAATATTTGATATTAATCGGAAAAAAATTATTCTACGTTATTAATACTAATTTTAAATTTAAAAAAAGTATAATTAGATTTTACAGAGTGCCAGAATAAATTTTCTTTGCTTAGATATAAGAAGGAACACATTCCGTATGTTTTTTGAAAGATAAACTTTTGAATTCAGCTTGGTTTGATAAAATTTTTTAAGTAAAATTAAGCTTTTGACTCACAATATTCATCGCGCAATAGTTATAATGCATACAAAAGAATATCTACTTACAAATAATAAAATTGCACGATAACATATATTTTTTTTTTATGTGAAATTTAATTTCACATGAGATATTTATGTAATTCCATATTACATCGTAGATTACAGCGATTTGTGCATTATGTGAAAGTAGTTTTCAATCGTGTCTCTTTTCTCCTTGCGAATGCATGCGAGTTTCAAATTTTATAATTGGAATTTTGCATTCTCTATCAAGTCGCTGATTACGGCGAGCGAGCTGAACAGCAGCGTGTATTATATCACCGATTATTCTAACTGCGTGAAAGTTGTCTGTTACATTTCTCTACATAGTTATACAGCTGCCACATGCAGTTACATATCAAACTTGCTCTTTAATGAATTATTTGTATAGTTGATGACTTAACGTCGTCAACTGACATTATTATCTTGTTAACAATTATTATTTAAAAAAACTCATAAAAATGCTTTAATTTTTGGAGCTTAATATTTAGTGGAACTTCATGAAGCTTTACTTTGCAATTGACAAACAATTATAATTATTTTTTATAGTAACTATCTTTAAAGAAGTAAAGTGGAAATTCACAAATCGTGCTTCATAATATTCTTTTGGCTGCATCATAAATAGAAAACGCTGTCTTAAAATCACCTTTGTAGCTGAAGTACTCCGGAGTACATATTCGCGAGAACTCGGCGATAGAAACGTGGCATTCCACGTGTTCGACGAATGAGCGAAGGTGCAGGTTAATAGATATCAGTACTGTAGGAAAGGGTGATCATATATCTACGGTATCCAGTCACGTAACGGTGAAGCCTACACTGATGCAGGAAACATGCACGCGCAGTATTTCCGTATATGCCACGAGCCAGCGCACTTGCAAATCAAGTATCATTTAAGTTCATGTCTACAACATAATGCTACGCCGCGTTATGCATATTTTAAGAATATTACCGCGATATAAAGTGCACTACTTATAAAAATTAATTCAATAACTTAATTTTCTTAAATGCTAATATCAAGCATACAGTATTTTTTTTTACATTTATTTAAATTTATAAACAGAAAGACGCTACATATTATTTATTTAAATAACATTATTTATTAGCATAAGAAACTAATTAAAATATCTTATTACGTAAACGTGAAATATTTATAAGTATAGACTTTTACAAATAAAAATAGTCATGCAATATCTAAAGAATGCTCTGCGAAATTATTATTTTATGCAGAATCAATGTCGAAAAATATGATAATTGATATTTAATGAAAAACCGGAGGAATTTAATCAGCAAGTGAATCGACAAATCTTGTACGTGGGAATATAGCGCTTGATTATTAACTATCTCAACTTTATGGGTAAGCGCGTAAGTATATTTATGCGCCACGGTTGCGTAAAGAATTCTGCATTCCGCTTTCAACACAACGAATTCACGCCAATCCTTTAAGAATGTATATTTAGCGGAGCTATTCTTGATTGAATGCGCAAAAAATTCAAACGGATTTTATTAAATCCGGTTAGATGATGGTAATACCACGTAATACGATTTATGTTACAAGCATGAAAAGTTGGCAGCAAGTAATAATTTCATAAAAAATTGTATAATATTTTGAAAATAGTAATTATCCACACACTTATTAACAAATATATTTCTTTAAGTATGATCCCGTGTATTTATAGAATTATATGAGTTGGAATCAAAGGAAACAGACACATCAAAAGAACACAATCGTAAATGTTTTATTTGAAAACATGTATAAAAATCTATAAAACATATCAACTTCACTCACACATATATCAAGATTTGTTTGAATATCCAATGCATTCGTGTGCAACGATTGGCCTTGCCGTTTTTTTCCGTTACATAAGAATCGCGGTAAAAAGATTATTAATTTTTGAACGGCATTTGCGCTCTACCTCGGCCTTGATATGTCGAAGTGTCCTGTGACATACAGGAAACATTATGGTAAGAATGTACTTTCTCGAGTGCTTTGCGAAATGTTGGAGACCGCGATAGAGAGTGTCTTAAAATAGGTATTTGTGAATGGTTAGACAAAGCTGAAGTAAAATAAGCCCAAACTTCCAGTTTCGTTAAATATAAAAAATAAAAAAATAGATATATTTATTTCGTATAGTGATAAATTTGAATAACTATAATAACTAAGATTCTCACATTGCATAATTGTCGCATGAATCGTACAAACATAAGTACTTACTACTTAACAAATATTATATTAAATCAAGAATAATATTTCCTCTTCGTTTTTCATTCTAGCAGGATCAAGAAAAGCTTACAAAATCTCAAATTTATAGTTTCGGATATAATTGATGTAACTTTCGTTTCTATTTTTTTTACTGAATAATTTATTTAGGCGTAATCTACCGCATTATGACTTAAAACTTGATTCTGCTAGGAAATTAAAATTTATTCCACCGATCGAAACGAATCAGAAACATAGCAAAGATGCATCACAAGCCGATCAGTACTGATTCTCGGTGACGGGTCGTACGCCAGGTTGCTGCTGATTGTAGGCAAGCTGATTCGGATTGTAGGCAAGCTGATTCGGATTGTAGCCGGTCGCGCGAGCTTGCGTATACGCACTCGCCTGAGCCTGGTAGGCGCCACCCTGATTTTGATACCGCGCCTGCTGAATCGGCTGGATCTGCTGCGGCTGGATCGGCTGCTGGCGGATCGGCTGCTGGTGGATCGGCTGCTGCTGGATCGGCTGCTGCTGGATCGGCTGCTGCTGCACGCGATGTGGCACGTACGGCCTGTCCGGTCCACGATATGCAACCTGGTTGGCGATAATATTGTACGGGGTCTGCGCTTGGTACTTCAACAATTCGCGTAGATGAGCCGGCAAGTTGGTCGAGTATTGCGGCTGTTGCTCCACCAGCGGCTGGGATGTCCTGCGATATTGCGGTTGCTGCTGCGCCTGGCGCTTGCTCCTGGGGTGGTCGCGTGATCTCTGACGTTGCGGCACGGGCTCGGGCGGTGGTTGCGGTTTCAGGTTTCGCAGGTGTTCCCGGACCTGCTCAGCCTGAGCGCGTATCGCAGCAGCTTCATCGAATCTGTGAATTAGATCGAAATTATCTTAGTTAACTCTGCTTGATTCTGTGCATCTTACAGACATTTTTTTTTTTTCAAATACAGAAAAACGATTTCTAATTTATCTTAATTAATGGAATATATCTTTGGACATCAAAGATGCATTGATAATTATTCGATTTTGTATTATCCGGTACCTGTATGGTTCCGGAATTATGTTGATGTACGGAATCTGCTGCTGGAACTGGAGCAATTGTTGAATTTGCGGCGGCGTATTGGCGTAAGTTTTGATATTAGGCGCGGGTTCCGCTTGCTGTTGAGGCTGCGGCTGCGGCTGCGGCTGATGCACTCGCTGTCGGTGCCCTCGCTGCCGAGGTGCGGCTTGCGGAATTGGCGCCGCAGCTTCCGTAGCGTACTGCGCTTGCGATTGCTGCGGTTGCGGTTGACGTTGGTACGATCTCCAGTTCACCCTGTAACCTTTTGATTTTATGAGATTAATATTCAGTGCATACGAGACAGTGTGACGAAGATTAGGGAAACGACGCTGGCGACAATACCGCTGGGATCGTTGTACTCGAGCGCTTTCGCGTTAGCCTGATTAGCATCGTACGGTCCCTCGATTACGGACTGACTGTGTCCGTCGGTCGCCCCTTGAATATTGTAGGCAGCCGCTCCGCCATCTGTGGGTCCCTGAATCTGGAAATTCGAGTGCCCGTCCGTGGCACCTTGGATATGGAAATTAGTGTTACCGTCTGTTGCACCTTGAATGGTGAAATCTCCGGGACCTCCTCCCTCTAAAAATCGAAACGAGAAACAGGTATAGATTGTTTCATCGGCTTTATACCGTCGAGACATTATCGATCGCTTATCTGCGCTTACCGCTTGCATCTGTGTACTGGATTCCTTTCTCCTCGCTGAACTTAAGACCCTGGGCTCGTCGATGCCCGTCGCTAGGCCCCTGGATTGAGAATTCAGCCAGGCACATGGGAAGTGCCGTTAACAATAGAACCTAGAACATTCATTTATCCATAGCTTAATTTGATTTCAATACGTGTGAGACGTGCATGATGTGGCATAATAAAATATGCTTATTACAATTTGTGCAACGGAAATTATTCGCGTAAAAAAATAAACATTTTTTTATTAATTCACTTTATTAATCTTGACAATTTTCATAATTGCGTTAATCATGATAATTGAACGGAAACATATTTTTTTATCGTTATACGAATCCAATTCCTAATTCTAATGAAATGAAATCAAAACGTAACATGTAATCACATTCATTTGTCTTACTCTCGATAAGTGCATCAGACTCGATTTCGTAACCAGGTGATCAAGGATCATTATCTAACGCACGTGGCACTAAACCTGAAACTGTTTTGCGGCACGTACATTGCGTATATGGAAGTGTATCGAGCAACCGGCACCGGGAAGCTGGAAGGGAAAGTTCGCGCGCGCATGAATCTTTAATCAGCCGGTAGTCACGATAATCGGGAAAAGGCGAGCATATTGCCGCTTAACATTCACGATCGTGAGGCGCGCTCGAGCCGTAACGCGGCCGCCAGACAAAAAGCAGGTGAAAGAAAAAAAGAAATGCAAATCGCAAGGTAGCGCTAACGGAGCAGATTGAATGCACTAGTTGCGGGCGTTACGCAGCCGGTAGAAAGTGAGATATAAATTAAGTACGTCTAGACAAGTTTGGTGCGATTATTCAGAAAAAGTCTCTTGAACTGGCTTGGAAATGTCCTCGGCCGGCTGTCACGAGACGAAATTCCTATCATATGTGCGAATTCTGCGCGAGTTTTATCTGACAGAACGCGGAACCCGAGAAGCATTTAGCAAAATCACGATATGTATATTGAGGTCTAGTTTTTTTTGGATAAACAAAAAATACGATAGTAAAATTATTTATATTTAATACTTAATATATATGCTAATTATATAATTGAATTTTTATGTTTATTTACACTTACTAAAAGTATCTTTGATATTTATTCTGACTTATTTTACGAGAAAAGAATATATTATGTGTAAAAGATTAACGAAGCGAATCAACGAAACGAGTTACTTTCCACGTTGGAACTTTGATCCGCGAGCTTGCGACGAGATTGCGAAAGCCTGATTGCTCGTATCCGCGATTGATAATTGGCCCGTGAAATGACTGCGGTAATTAAGCGGCATTCCAAATCGTCGCTCACTTTACAACACTCAACGATGCAATTAAGTACACGACATTTGTCATTTCCCTTTGCACGCTCGTTATCTTTCAACGAAAGGCGGTGACCAGTGCTGACCAAGCAAGCGACTTCCCATTTCCAAGCCGTGCGAATAAAATCTTAGAAAGAAATTTTTCCGGATACGTTTGTGACACAAAAATAATAAACAAGACAATTATGTATGTCAGCTTTTATTATCAAGCGATGAAATTGTATTAAAACGATAAAGAAACGATTTATAGATTTATAATTTTATTTTTGACGATTTATAATTTCAGAGAGCTACAAGAAGTAAGAATAATAAATAAAAGTACGACAAATAAAGGTGCAAAAGAAAACACTAAATGTTAGTTAAATAAAATCGTCATCCGACTAATGTCTGTAATAGCACGTTGCAGTTTTACTTCGTATTTTTCCAACAAGATTATCGTAAAGCTCGCGTATTCACATCCACATCAGATGCACATATACATTAAGAATACATTTAATACAATTTAATTAATGGTTATGCGAGAAAATATTTTAAAAACCAATATCGCAAAACATCGGGCGCTGATAAGACCGGCTGCCATTTATCGCGTCGTCGCATAATTTGTTGCTCGTACAGCATATCTATCCAATCAAGCGCACGCGATCTCATTTCATCACTTATCGAAAGTAAACCTGACTTCTGTAAAATCATACGCGTGCATTCTACATTGCTTTCTGTTTTTTAATATGCCGCGAAGACTTTCGACGAGGAAAAAACATAAAGCGGCTGTGTACTTACGTGCAATTTCATGGCGAGAAAGCTGGTCGATTCGTTCGAGGGTGGAGTGTTTCTGAAGCGGGCGCGCGGTCACCAGAACAACTTTATAGGCGGCCACGTAAAAGGAGCCATTCGGCGACGGGGATGTGACTTGGCGAGAGCCACCTCCATGTTGCACCTCGTCGACCAGCTGGCCGGCCGATATTATGCTCCAACAGTTAGTGGGAAATAGCTTTCGGCGTTAAGTAACATTCTTATGTTAATTACATTGTAAAATTATATTTGTGGAATGCGTTGATAAATTGAAGTTTGATGTATGACTGCTAACTTGTATCCTTATAAATTTTTACTTTCAAATTTTAATACAGGAATTTTCTTATAAAAATTCTTATTTATCGAGTTTTTTCTCGAGTCGTCGAACTTTCTTCGTGCAGCGTACAAGGAAAGATTTCCTACGAGGCCATTCATCTTCTATGCGACGCATTATAATCGTGAAAAGTCTCGCGTTTACTGATGGAAAACGACGGAGTAACCGTGCGGTGGAATGCGATGCAACGCGAAGTTTCCCAGGCAATTGCCATTCAAAGGTTACGATGCGAAGCGCGCGCGCATCCGCAATTAATTGCCGACATTGAATTCAATTATTGTTCTGTCAAGTTGTGCAAAGGCGCGTTGTACTCCGTTGCTTTTAACGAAATACTGATGATAATGTGGACTTAAGTCATGTAAAAAAAAAAGTAAATCTTAAAAGAAACGAAAAAAAAGATTTAGAACGTTCGTATTTATCGCGATATCATATGTTGAACTGTAAATAGTGATTAAAAAAGTCTAATTAGAGAAATTTTTGCTCGGCAAAGCTATCGCATTACTTCGATTATGACTGTATCTCCAACCTGTGTCATTCCTATTGTATTCTCGATTCCCATACCTTTAGAATTACAGATTTCTATTTCTGCAATAGATTTGATGATAGATCTGTGATGCTCTACGTCATTAAATCTATAAAGTCTTATTGTTAGGTCCATTGATTCCTGGTTTAGATACGCAATCATAGGAGCATACTTCTTTATTCAATTATTCGACTGCAAAGCTGCTCTTACTCACAAGTGGAAATGTCGTTACGTCAGTTTATATACTAGAAAGTTACGCCGTGTCGCATTATACATTGCAGATAGATTTCCGATCTCCCGTGAAATTATAGATTATCCCAAGCATCGATATGTGAAAACAATTCCTACAATACGATCCGATATAAAAAACAATACTCGATGAATAACAGGGAAGCGATATGTGCAGAATGAGTCACGAAGAGAATGTATAAGTTTAGAAACTGACTTCTTCGAGTTGCATTCAAGGAGAGAAAAAGCATAAAAATACTTAGATATAATATAAATTTACAAAATATTACATTCCTTTTATATCTTATATATTTTTCCGATGTTTCAAGCGTTTTTAAATTTCTTTACCGCGAAAAAACGATAGTTAATCAACTATCAGTTTTATGCAAATTTGTTATGAATCATCTTGTAAAACCGTGACTGTAATTTTCTTCGATTTCCTCAGACGAGAATCCAAAGGGCGCGCCCCTGACAAATTATCTATTTGTGCAAGCTTCGGTAGAAAATAAAAACGAAAGTTGCACTGTCGTGTCAGCGAAATGAGTGCGACCGCATTCACAGTTGCAACGCCTCGACGGTGCATCGGCACACGAAGCGTGAAGGCCATGAAAGTGGATCGTCTGCCTTCCTTGTCCTTCTCCTTCGGAGAAATGCTAGACCTGCTTTAAAAATATTATTTTTGCGTAAAATTAAAAGAAAAACAGCCAGACAATACGCTTTTTCGAATTCACGCATTATAAATTTTCTCATCTTGTATCTTCATGTATGAATAACAAAATCTACTTGATTCTTAATATCATACGTCGCATTATTTCTGTATTCGATAAGAAACTAATCTCTTTCTAATCATAATGCAGAAACTCTGCTAAATCAGGTGTAACAAGTTCTCATGCGTCTATATTTCTTTCTGTTATTAAGTCATTTGCGTCTTGCGGTAATTTCCTTAATTTATATGCCTCAATTATTAGCTTGATAAAGAACTAACACGCCATTATACTATTGATTCACTTTCTATTTTGCAAAATTAATACATTCGGCACTAAATCGTGAATCTCTGCGTGAGACAGAATATTACTTTCTAATATCATGCGGAGATCACACATAGATATCTTTATTCTCAATAGAAAGCAAAAACTGTCGGACTTTCTATTTCTATTTGCTCTAATAACGTGAGAATCTAGTAACTATCCTCATGTGCAATTAAACAAACCACGCGTCGCGAGAAACGCGAACTTCCTCAAAGAAGTGTGTTTACGAGAACACGACGTTATCGGATTTTCGCTGACTTATCTCGGCTTTTTACGAGTGGAAGTTCCGCCAGTTTCCGCAAGCTGAAATAATAAAAGCGAAGATTACGCGACGACGGGTTGAATGACTCTCATGATGCCAGAAGCGGAAATGTTTTATTTCGTACAAAAAATTACATTCTTTTGCGCTACCGTATAATTAAGTATTTTCTACTTTACATATAAACTTTACATATCAAGCTAATTGAATATAATTTTCTAACTGAGTGAAATAAAAAATCAGGAAATTGATCGAAGAAAGATTGCCAAACTGAGTTTTCTACTTCTGCTTTGTATTAAGGATCATTATATTATTACTGTCATAATTATTATAAATTTCCTTGAACGTTTTAATCAAACATTTCTTGCTCAATTTTCTGTTTATCTTCGTGAATTACAAGTCTTTTTTTATTCTACATTAATTATATTTAATTCAAGCAATTATTTTCTATCAATTTTCCTTTAATTCTTCAATTGCGTCTAATCCTAACAAGTATCTGGCGTTCGTCCTTTTCCCGTCTTATCGAAAGAGAAAATCGTAACGTGTTGCGCCGTCAACTACACGGTAGTGCAAACGTAAGTCAAAGTGTTAACAAGCGATGCAATAATTTAAGGCGCGCAAGACAAATCGTCCTAACAATGCCTTGATGACGCTAGAAAGCTGAAAGCCATTTCCGCGAGTGAAAACGGGATTCAACTCGAGCGAGTCTAAGGATAAAACCGGCCGTCTCTCTCTTATCGCGAGATAGAATACTAATTTATATAAATCATATTATAGGCCAATGATCTGTCAATGACGCTGCCCCTCGTCGACCGGCTTGTCCTGCGGATATTCCGCGTCGACGTTCTCGTCGTCCGTGTAGTAAATCTTGCTGCGATAATAATAAGGTCCCTTGACGTCGTCGGACAACGGCTTGGGGATGAAGATGCTCTTCGGCTTGTACTGAATGCGATTCGCCGTGACGTCGTACGGTATTTGCGCTTGGTACTTGAGCAACTGCTTGATCTCCGACGGCATATTCTTGTCCAGATAAAGCGGCGGGATCGGTAGCTCCGGTATAACCGCTATCGGCAGCACTTGCGGAGCTTCCTGCTGCTGTTGCTGCTGCTGCTCCTGCGGCTGTTCGTAATTCTTGTAGACGACTCTGTCCTGACGTTCCAATCTTCTGTCGTACTCAAGTCTGGGCTGCGCTCTTTGAGGACTGATCGATTGGTATCTCAATGACGGCTGCAGGTCCGAAGCGGCCGCGGACGGTTGCGGCTCGTATTGCTGCGGCGCCACGAAGCTGGCGCCGTAGAGGAAAGATGAAGGATCGACGTAAGGAGCTTGCGGCTGATAAGTCGACTCGATCAGCTGTCTGATGTGACCCGGCAGCGCTGCGTACGGTCTGTAGAACTGCTGGGACTGGATCGGCTGGAGTTGCTGGGGTTGAGCTTGCGGCGCCGGGGCGCGATGCTGCGGCGACGCTTGCTGAGTCTGCCGGGGACGCTGGGGCGAGCCGCCCTCGGCGCGCTGATGCCGCTGAGCGTTCGCCAGCTGCGACCGCCACTGGTTCTGAAGCGCGAAGTGCCAATTGATCTTCGAGCCTGCAACGCGGGGAGAAACATCATTGCCACCGATTAATGCTAGTCGATTATCAATGCTTACGCAATCTCGGCTCCGGTCGGCATCCGGACAAAGGAATTGTTCTGTGTTTGTGAATGTAAAAATCGAGATTCTCGCGTGCATGCGATAGCAGCAGTTAATAGTTAATTGCACGATATTGAGGCCAAGGTTTCCGAAGATTTTAATAGCGTTTACGAAGAAATACAAAGCTGCGTACTCACCGTCAGCATTTTCGTGCTTGATTTGCCCTTGCGGTGCGCGAACGGGTCTCTCCACATTTTTCGTTTGCGCCCACGCGGCAGATATTACCGCAATCAGAAGGATCTGTAAAAAATCGTGATTTGCACAACATGATTTGAGAATCTTACGATAGCTAGCTGAGGTAACAAAAATTAATATTATTATTTGAAACTAATATGCGGAAATGATCATTCAATAATTATTCAATGATCAGCTGGGACAATTTGAAATCAATCAACACGGTCCACTTTTGATCACACATGGTCCAAAAGCTTCAACAAAAAAAAAAAAAATAAACTCAAAGTAAGATACGTCTGTGATTGCACGTTGCTAGAATATTTTTTTTATCACTACGTTAATGTTAACGTGACGGGATGAGAATATTCTGAGCACTCACTAGTAGTCTCATGGCTGCGTGCGGAGAAAGATGTTCGCGGATGGTCGCGTCGAGTTTGCTCGCAGAAATCAACCGGCGGAGTCGGCGTGGCTCTTCTATATAGCAGTCGCCCCGGCGTAATTGGCGGCGCGGGTACGCGGCCGGTGGCTACCTACTTTTAGAGTAATTCCGCCTCGGGTAAGGAGTGAACTCCCGGCAAAAGGCCCCCCCGAGGATATATTATCACTCATTGCAAGAATGCGTCCTTCTGACGTAACGTCATTATAAAAATCGCTCCCGGAAGCGATTCAGCAAAAATTTAAGTATCTGTAAAACTCAGAATTTCGTAATTCTAGTGGCAACATCTCTCGCGAGACTTTATCCTTTCGCGAGATTTTATCCTCTCGCGAGATTAGATAACGCATAATAATTTTTGATATGTTACATTCTGATCTACAAATTTCTCGTTGAAATTCATAAAAAAATATCTTGATATTTTTGTTTGCATAAAAAATGAGATGGTAGTTGAAAATCTATCTGGATTCTCAATCGTAATAAAATCGAAAAAATTAAAAGTGAATATGAAAGGATTGAGCACGTTGCATTCGATCTTACTGTTCCTCAAAGTAGTTTTTTTAGATTTCAAGAACTATTGTGAAATCTCCACGCGATTCCGGGGACTTTAACGAGACTGCGCATGGCGCAACAAGAAACATCGGCGAGTTGCGCTTTAGACAAATCCACGCTTAGCGCGTTTTAGAGCGCGAGTTGTCAGACTTCGTATGCACTTAAATTGTTTCAAATGAGGAATAACGACGGAGTAGAATCGAGAAGAAAGCGCGCCTTGTGGCAGCAAATGTTCGTAATAATTCTTGCAATTTAATGAAGTATAGAATTACGTGTGATTGTATGGAAAAAGAAATTGAAACAAGAATCTTTCTCGCTTCATACACTGTGAGCACTCATGCGATATTAATTTTTTGTCTTCAATTCTATGATAATTAATATAATTACATAGTATTGATAAAAAATGAATTATGAAAAAGATATTAAGTCAAATTATCTTTTCAGAACAAGAAATTTCACTATGTGAAATACAGTAAACGCATTTTTTTAATAGCTACTTTTAGTATTCTTATATTGTTGCTTTAATCATTTAGAGAAGAAATTAAATATCAAACATCTGTTTTTATTATTTTATCAATTTTAATTTTATTTTTTCGAAGAGTTGAGGACATTTGATGGGACCAAAAGTTAAAGTATAGAATATAAATATTCCCGATAGCGTGAATCAAACTTAAAACAATGCTTCTGGCTAAACGACGATCGAAGTGAAAAATACATTTTCAATGTTGTGTCGCAAGCGACTGCGCTATTGCATACGGTTAAATTTACGATGTGTAAACGATCCGGCACACTTTAAACACTACTGATCTGCGTCATCGGATATCTATAGTGCTTCGACAATAAGGACGAAATTAAGAGGTAGAAAGAACGGCGAAAAAAATCTAGCCCAGATTCATAAATTTCGCGAAATAATGGACCGCTCCGCGCACGTTTACTGCCGCGCGGCAAGAAAATCTCTCAAACGACGAGATAATTGCACGGCTACGTGACGCTCGCAAACTTTTAATGCGATGAGAATGCAACGCAATCGTTCGTGAGTAACGAACATTATCTTTTAACTTAATGCATTGACGTATTAAGCCGCGGTTATTAAAAGTCTATAAATAATGTATTCTGTACTAGTTTTCTTATTTCTATAGATAACACAATGTGTCAATTTTTACATTGCTGTAATATTCAACTCACAAGGAATGTATTTTATCCATTTTTAGTAACCTAATATTGAGAAGAAAGATATGTGACTGCGTTTTAGCTTACAAACAGAATTTTCTCACTCGGCAAATTAATCTCGTATTGCCAAAGGATTTTTCCTAGAAACCATTAAAGTTTGAGGATAATTTGTTAATGACGAGTGAAGAAAAAGGGAAAGAATATCGAGTACGCGTATAAAATTAGTGGGATATTAAATAAATGGAAACCGGACGGGAAAACGTGCGCCGCAAATAAAACTATAAAAGTCTCGTAAAACGCTTAACGGTCTTTTCTTTTTTTCTTTTCCCGCTGGATCAAATTGACGGCAATTTTCGAAATTACGAACGTTGCGACACGTGGACCCGAACGGGCGTCGGCCGACGCGCGCGAGCGGATATAGAGGAGGAAAGCTCGTGATCGCGATAAGATTCGAAAGGTATGATCGGCGAGGGAAGAGAAAAAAGGAAGGATTTGACAAGAGGAAACCGCCGGAGAAAGTCAATTATTTCTGGCCGGTCGACGAGGAAGACTCCTTTGGCGCCTGATATCGGCGGTGCGCCGGAAGTGACGTTTACTTCACGCATGCGAACGTAGAAATGCACTTCCTTCCGCCCGAACGATCTACGCGGTGTGTGATATCTCGACCGCGATGTACTGCCATCACGCTCAATAGATATCACGCATGGATTGATCCGCCTCGTGAAATTCACTTATGCAGAGTGTCTCGTGGAGTGTCTCGTAGAAAGTGATTTATTAGACGTTTAGGATCGACGAAGAGTGGCGCGTGACTCTGGGACAAAAAGTTGCGAAAGATCGGCAAAGATATTTTATTCGACCGCTAATTCTGCATCCGCGTACGCAACAAGGCATAGAGAATACGCTTTTTGCAATTAATGATAAATAAAATAGGATACTTCATTGCTAATGCACCTCCGGTGAGTTTTACAATCGCACCGCGTATTTGCGCTGAGCCGCGCGATTGCGAAATGCAGAAATATAATCGCGAACGAGAAAAATGTCTGATGGCTTGGAGAGCAAGATAGATCCGCGCTTTCGCCGTGCTTCGAGCTATTAAGGAAATCGGAAGTGGGAACTTAATACGCAATCAATAAATGTGTTTCGGAGCAATTAAAGCGCGCTTGATTTTCCTGCAGTTTTGCACCGTCGATTTCAATTTGCCGATGGTAATGGCTGCAAAACTCATTACTATCGCGATCGTAATTTCGCGAGTTCGTGAGTGAAATCGAAGATTACGACGGGCGAAGAATAGTAGAATAATTTTCCTTTAACGAGCACTTTGGTACATGGAGCTTCGAGAGAAAATTAAAATGATTTCAAAGGTTGCGTACGACGCCAACCCCGAAGAATGCACGAATCTTCAGCGCGATTGCTGCTATCCCTCCGATAATCCGCTGGAAGTTGGTAACCGTATTCAGTAGCAATGTCGGTATATAATCTACTGCAGTCACAAATCTGAGATCCAATGTGATAAACAAATATCTCTAATAATAACAAAAAATAATTTGTTAATTGCTAATCAAATTTGAAATGATTTTCCTTTAAAATAAATATTTGCATTCTTAATTAAGCATAAAAGTTTAATTTAGGTGAAAAAAAGTATTAATTAAGAATGCTAATTTTTTCGTTATTTATTAACAATTTTAGAGTTTAATTTGGAAAGAAGTCTTTTATATTCGATTTCAAACCAAAAAATCTTCCCCGATTTTTGCTAAAATCGATTTTATATTGTTTAAAGAATTGATTATTAAACTTCCTTTATTTTATCGAGTTAAAATATAATCGAAAAAATAGATACAATATATTTCTACAGAAATTTATTTTATTTTATTTCTTATACACTACTTCACACACGCATCGGTATCGTGCGTATTAATGGCGTGCACTCAGCCAGTCAACCGCACTGTTCTGCCGCATCGAGATATTCAGATGCTTAAAAATTAGTAATTTTTTAATCTCTGTAATTTGACGAAAAATCATCGTAGATAAAAAATTAAAAAAGCATTTTGAAGCTTGAAACTTGTACTTTCACATACTTGAGGCCGTTTTTAAAAATTTTTTATCTTCACATTTCTGAGTTTAAAGAAAAAACACTAAGCTTTAAACTGTTTTTTTAATTTTTTGTCATTTTGCAATAATTTTTCGCCGAGTTTCAGCGGTTTAAAAATTGCTCGATTTTAAGCATCTAAAATGTTTCTTATTTTTTAAAGAGTAGTATATAAATAAAAGAGAGAACTTAATATAAAAAAAAACTGACAATTTACAGTCAGTTTTCTGAATTCAGTGAGCAAATTAAAATTAACATCGGGATCTTTATAGAACACTCTGCATAAATTGCGCGAGCAAGATATTCACCTTCTCGCGAACCATTGGAAGAAATGTCAGTTCAAGTTATCACGGCGAAAGTACGAGGACTAGGTTGCACAGGAATCGCTCGTAGGGCGTGGTGGAAGACCGGTGTGATCCACGGCTGAAACGTGCGGGTTGCTATCAAGGCCTCTTCGCTGGATTGCCCTGAACCAACCCGCCATATAAAACGCCCCTCTCGGCTCCTGAGAGCACTGCTGTGCTTCCCGTTGTCTAACGATCTATTATTCCTCCATCATGCGCGCTGCATTCGTAAGTTCTCCGCGAGTATTTATCCACGCGCTTAGTCTTGACTTAGATTGAGTCTCGTCAAATTCTTTGTACTTTTAAAAATATAATAAAAATATATGTATACGATGCAACTGAATCACGCATCGATCATGTGCTAGATAAAAAATAAAAGTATTCCGTACATTTCGAATATCTTCACTCGTCGGATCAATTTATCTGGGTTTACATTTTATTTGTCGCTCGCAGATCATTTTGCTGTGCGCCATCATTGGCGTCTCTTGCCAAAGGCCTTATTCTCAATCGCCGCACCAGGCGGCGATTTTGAGCGACGCGCGATATCTCGCGGGTGACGGCACATTCGGCGCGGCGTATACACAAGAAGACGGAGTGGAATTCAAAGAGGAGAGTGATGTGAATGGCAATCGACGTGGATCCTACTCATATGTCGATCCGACCGGGCAAAGACGCACCGTGACTTACACTGCGGGAAAAAACGGATTCCAGGTACGCTAAATATATTCACCAGTTCGTTAAAATTATTATATCAACACGATGTCACCTCGCAAAACGATTAGTTTTTATATAAATGCGTGTTTTAGGGAGAGCGAAGCGTTCAGCTCGTCAAACCAATGAAATAAAAGACTAAAATTAATTGTTTCACTTAATCACAACTGTGCATTTAATCGAATTGATTTAATGGCGATAAAATGAAGATTAATACCTAATTTTATTAATTTTAATGTTAAATTAATTCCTGACTTTTCGTCTCGCGTAGGCAACTGGCGACCACATTCCTAGCGCACCTCCGCCGGTGCCACCACAACCGGAATATGTACCACCACCGCAGTATAACCCGCCGGATTATCAACCCCCGAGTTATACGCCACTACCCCCTCAGCAGTATCCGCGGCGCTATCAACCGGATTACGAACCGCAACCTGTTTACCAGCCGCAGCTTCAGCCGCAATACCGGTACCGGCCGCAGCCACAGCCGCAGCTTCAGTATCATCATCCCTCGGAATTACAAAATATACCCTCATACGTTCTTCCAAAGCCGCATTATCAGCCCCAACCCCGACCCGCGCCGCAGTACAATGCGATAACGACACCGGCGCCTCGGAATTTCTATCCGCCGGGAAAGCTCAGCTTTAATCGGACTCCCGATGGTTTCTCCTACTCATTCAGCAAAAGTTAAGTAGTGATTTGCAAGTTAATAACGCAAGAAAAACGACAAGATTAGATCTAGCACGTACTAATCAGAAGAATATTTATAACTTGAAATAGAAAACAAAAATAGTTGGATGGCAAAAAATACAAAGTAAAGTTAGAAAACAAAGTTTGTTATTTAAACAAATATAAAATGTATGAAAAAATATCATTTATCTCAAAATTATAGTCGTGATCTCTAATTTTCTTTTTATTTCAAGTCTGTAATTAATCAATACTTTACTATAATTATTAAATTTCTTTTCTCTGTGTATTATAAATTATGAAGATATTGCTTTTATCATATATTAAGATACATTGTCTTAAAGCTCCGTCATAATAAATTAAGTTCTACATTATGTCTATCTTTCGGCGTCGTGACATTTAAGTAATAAAACGCTAAACCAATTTGAATAACTTTTATCTCCTTCGTTAGCGCAACGCCCAATGTATTTCGCATAGCAATTTCCTGTGCAAATGCGAGCACAATCACGTGCTCTATGGGGTCGGCTTACTTTCATCAGACAACCTTTGCGTTCTCCATAATGTCGCAACTGAGAATCCCACGATATCGAAGAAAATGTGGGATACGCCCGATATACATATATTCTGAAGAAAGACAATAGATTATTAGAAATATGTTCATTCTTTCAGAAATTGCAATTTTAATTCGTTATTAATATAGTTACATTTATTTAACATGAGTATCGTGATAGCATCGGTTGAAATCAATGAATCAGCTACTCTTTATAACGCATTAAAAAAATATAAATGTTTATTACTTACATTTAAACACAATTGTCCGCTGTAAAATAGCATTCGGTTTTTTTTTTCTTATTTCGCGAGAGACAGGAATCTCTGAGAAAAACGGAAGAAAAAGGAGACAAAGAAGTGATTATCTCATTATCCTGGCTTGCGAGTGATAATGCGAGTGCACCATCGTGCGCGCGAGGTGGAGGTCGACAAGAGCGAGGAAATAAAAATCCGACGAAGTTGAGCCGGTTGGCTAGCCATTATTATTGTTAGCCGTAATACGGGCGCGGCGCGATCCGGCAAGGCGAACCGCCTGTACCTGAACAGGAACTCGGCAACCTTAGGTGGGCAGAAAGAAATTGCATACCGCGATATTTCACGTCACCCTGACGCTGTCGCCCGAGAGAAAATGCATTATAATATCGCCGATAATATCGGTAGGATTTTACGGTTGCAACAATAGCGTGTTCTTTATCTTCCGCATCTAATAAATCTTGCATACGCGTGAAGATTAATACACACTGTTGAGCACGATAACATTACGGAGACATGGTTTTCATTCATCATTTTTTATTTATAAAGGTATATTGAGTATACATTTTGTTTCATAATTATGGCAGTAATATACAGACTCTGATTAGTGGCGCGCGACATCAACAGTATAAAAGTAATCTAAAACAGCTATAGAGGCAGCGGCATCGAACATTCACTCCTCGTAACAAAAAAATGAAAATCAAAGAAACAGCGGCTTACCTAAATCTAACTTATGTTAACGTTTTACTTATGCCAGTGTGCCTCCCTAACACGTGAATTCAAATTATGACGACAGTGTGGATAAGTCCCAGAGAAAAGGCACTATATGTCTATTCCTCAAAAAATCCTCAACGCACGAGTGCGTTTTACTACCATAGAAATCATTACATTTACTCCGACACATCATCTTTCTTCTGTCGAAATTTTTTTCTAAAAAAAAGAAAAAAAAATCCAGATTACACCTAGCATATATTATCACGCCTTTGAACGATAAGCGTAAAAGCGTTTGGTTCCCATATGCTAGTTCAGATGCTCCTAGTATTTTCTATCGAGCGCTAGTAAGATTTAATCATTATCAGTTAGGCAAATGTTAACTATTTGTCCCCTAAATTGATTAACTCCAAAGGCATCGGTTTAAATTTGATTGCACTTTCAATCTTCTGCAACTTTCACAATATGCGTGCAATAAGACAATATGGTGTGCATGATAAACATGGTGAAAATAAAAATCAACCGCGGCGCGCGAGGCTGTTCATTAATTCATTAATCTCACTACGTTAAAAATATAAGATCATGTAAAAACTCGAAAAGTTTTCATAATCGCTCATACGCTCATACGGTAATCTAAGACAGTCGCTATTGTCGCGGTGATTATTTCTAATGACACAGTTGTAAATGTTACACAAAATATACGCTCAGCATTAGGCTCCGACTTTTGATTTTTCACATCACGCAGAGGCACGGTCGTCCTAAAAGCGATCGTCAAATGAAAAATAACCCGAAAGCGGATTTGTACGTGAGGCAGGAGGCACGGCAGTGTTACGTTCTTAATGAACCTTACTTATTATCTTAGAGTACTAATCTAAGGAGACAAGAGGAAGTTTAAGCGCCGAAACAAGCGGATCCTATTGGCTTTTCCTGGAAGATACAGTTTGTTCACAATGCGGACTCATAATGTGAGATGCTCGAGAATTTATCAGTATGATGACGCGCGTATTCAGTTTGTAACAAACTTGAACGCGATTATTGTCATTAAATTCTCTTTGCGAATAATGGACATATTTGTATACATATGTTTTCTCCTGCCAATAAAACAAATTGGGAGTCTCTCGACTGCCATATAACTGCAAATCATTATCTAAAATCTGTACAAAAAATGCGGAAAAGAAATTTTAAACGTAGAAGCTTTCTTCTTTCATACTTTTCCGCGTATCAAAATGCATAAATCATAAATGATTTATAATTAACTTAAACGGTTCGAGAAATACTTTCTCTCCGTGCGTTTTTAAGACATTACATAATACTTAAAAATAAACTTGCTTAATTAAGTACATGCTGATACTTTAGATTAGCATGATATTTCAGATTCGCAATGATTATTACAATAAAAGATAAACCTATTAAAATATCACTAAAAAAACACAAAAGTATAAAATTCTACTAAAACTGATTAATAATATCAAGGCTTTGAGCACGTGTTTCGCGTCACATTGTGGCTTATATAAAAAATACGCTTACTTATTAAAAAATGCTTCAAAAATGCTTCAAAAATGCTTCAAAAATGAATAAAGACAACGAAGCATATTGTGCTCCAAATTAAAGCATTTGCCGCTTTTAGCATAAGCTCTCCTTTTTAGATATTATAATCCATGGCTAATACTTATGCTACATCACAGCGGCAATCTACATTTGGTATACAACTTGATAATATATTCGACACTTTGGAAGAATAAAATCGCGTATAAATTTAATATAAAACTTGTTGATGTTACGTATAATACGAAAACATGAACGTAAATAGATGAATGTAAAAATCAGTGAAACGGCAATGCGATTCGTCATTAGCTAATTTCAACTTCCTATCGAAGAAAACGACAGCGTTGAAACAATAAATTCTCTAAATTATAACGTTGCAGTTAAAAACATATATATACATATATATATAACCAAATACAATAGCATTGAGAACAAACCTATATATCAGAGAGTATATATCGTCGTGATCCGTTCTGTAACTTTTTAAATGTAAACCATTTAACTAATTTAAAAAACGCAGCGATAAAATAAAATGTCGTTATATTATACTTTAACTATGTGAATTACTGTAACTATGTGAATATACTCTTATAGGTACAACACATATGTTAAAAAATTACAGAACAGATCGACTGGTACTTATTAATAGGGGGAAAGATATAACTACATAGGAACGTATACTAGTAGTACTTTTAAATACTGACGTAACAGTGTACACTTTTGCTACAAAACAGTATTACATCAGTATTTAAATTTTTTTTTAAGGTAGATCTTACCTCGTATCAAGATACACAATAGTACTCCTGCAAATAATTCTTCCAACTCTGTCCAGGTGATATGTCATGTACTCGCTATTTAATAATTTATCATAAAATATGATCAGTAAAATTCGTTTATCTTCAGCGTTTCGAGGATAATATTCTAAATTAGTTTAGAAAATTAGTTTTTGTCACCTGCTAAAAATTCCAACACGAATAAGTTGGAAAAGATGTAATCGATAGTGAATTATAATTCATAAATGATAATCATATCAATACTATTAATCACTATTAACATCACTGATCATACTACTGTGTATCTATTAACGACAAATTGGTATATATGTATGCAAGTCTGTATCTATGTATATAAATATATATATACATATATATAATATATATAATATATATATACATATATAATATATATACATATATAATATATATATATATATATATATATATATATATATATATATTATATATATATATATAT